AATTTATGAAAAAAAAAAAAAAAAAAAAAAAAAAAAAAAATTATGAATAAGAACTACTCTAATGACAATGTCTTAAACTTGGTCAACATTAAGTTGAAAAGTGTAAAAGTTGCATGGATAGATTGAGGCATGAACAACCTTCTTGTTGTCGACCTAAGATCCCAAGTCGAATTAGCTTGAACCCTCTTTCACACGGTCAAAGAATTTAGTCTATCAAAGGATTTAAAAAGGTTAGCTCGACGCTTTAGACAAACACTCAATCGATGGAGGTTCGAGTCGAACTATGAAAGACATCTTAAGGAAGTATCATACTAATGCAACAGAACAAATATCTTCCCTATACGATAACGCTACTTAGACCAATAAATCAGGAAGGTGATGAGACGACTTGAGACACTGGCATAAAGCCTATCTTTTGCAACGTTTGTTAAACGTTGCAAAAACTCTTTCCTCAACGACAACATCGACCTTTGTAATACACGTCAAAACGCTGCAAAAGATCTTTTGCAACGTTTTTTGGCCGCTGTGAAAACCTTTTTGTGGTGTAGTGTAACATCATGATCCCATCGCAATCAACATCTCTAGTCAATAGAATTTCATCAAATGGACGATGGCACTAAATCCCAAGTTGAAACTCTATAGCTTGACATGATTGGAGCAGCTAATTTCAATCCATAAGCCTACATAAAGGGCTGAGGGCGGATGAAAGAGGGAAGGATTCTGAACTGGCACTCTCTCTCTCTCTCTCTCTATACAATTGTAACAATCTAGCATTATAAGAATCTCATTTAGTTCAAATTCATAAAAAGGTTGACCAAATGATGTAGGGTCATTTTTTGACAGCAATAGATTACTCATATATTATGAATTGAATTAAATGTTTTTGACACGTTGGAAGGCAAGGGTAACTGTAGATCACATTAAATTACTTGACAATCTTGAAATTAGATTTACATGTTTTTGTAAATTCACTTGGTGTATAATTTCAAATTTAGAAAGTTTACGAAGTTTTATAATATGCTAGTCCACTTTCTAAGCTTTTTGCATAGTGAAATTGTCAAGTTGTGCGTGACTGTTTAGTCAACACAAGAATTTACACATTCTAGAAAGTTGGAAAATTTGTACCATTATTTTATAATTTAAACTTCAAGTAACAAGTTAGTTCTAACCTTTTTATATATAACCATCAATCCCTAATAATCAAATATCTATCAAGAGTCATATTCTATATGACTAAGTAACTACGATTTCTGAAACATGGAATTGGACTCCTTGTAGATGCAGTGTATAAGCAGCTCTTGTTCCTTGACCTGTTGAGACATACCCCGCGATTTACCTCCCTCACAAAACTCTAGGGGCAGGACGGTGGGGACCCTCAAGATTGGGATTCAACCTTTTTTTAAGTAACTACGATTCATCCTGTTATCTTGTGTAATAACCCATTGATCTGTAGGACAAGTCATCCACT